CAGACTCTCCTGTTGCTACAGTGTCGCTGACAGCATGAAAAAAACCCTTTTGTTCACTGCCAAGGCCAGGTCTGTGACTGGAGGTTTCAGGACAGGGATAAGGGACACATTCCCAGAGCTCTCCAGTGTGACTGCAACTGACAGGATGTCCTTAGCAGGCCTGTAGAGCTGATGTTAGCATTTCCACCTGTAGCAACAGCCCCTTAAAGCCCACAGCTATTGGAAGACCTCCTTGGTGTCACTCTTAAATTTCAGACATTGACTCATCCTAACTGTTCCTCACTGGAGCACAGGGGCTTTGTAGGAGGAAGACACAGAATCATAAATGCTGGAAAAGATATCTAGGACCACCAAGTCTGACCCCAACCCATTTCCCCATGCCCACGTCCCTCAGTGCCGCATCCCCACAGCTCTGAACCAGGGACGGTGACCCCACCACTCTCTGGGCAGCTGTGCCACTGCATCACTGCTCTTTATCAGAAGCAATGTTTCCTAATACCCTGAACCTCCCCTGGTCCTATCGCTGGGAGAAGAGACCAACCCCCACCTCACTTGTTTTTAACGTTATTCAAACTGGTAGAACGGTAGAAGTGCCAAAGCTGGGTGGTGGGGACCTCCCACCAGAGTACGGAGGGATCTGCTGCACAGGGCTCCATCCCTCCTTGTCCCCATGCCTCCCCAGCTGGAGACATGCAGCTCCATGTGGCACCCACTTGAAAAAAACCTCAGGAGAAGCAGAAGAAAGAGGAGCAGGGTGATGTCAGCGCTGGCTGCCGGCAAGCAGCAGAGCCGCACAAAGGAGCCACTCTCCCTCTGCCCCCTCCTCTGCCAAGCAGACGGGTGAAAACAAGGCCCCGCAGCCTGTGGCTGGGGTGACGAGGCCTCAAGAACACGCAGGTGCCGTGTTGGGGACAATGAGCTTCACAGGCTGAGCTGCACAAAACAATCTCCTCCGCGGGCTCCGCGGATGGGAAGAAATCCCAAGGACAAGGCTGGCAGGAGGCACAGGGCTGCATCCCCCCCGGCGCCTGGCTGCCTCCTTGCCGATGTCCTAAAGGAGCAGCACCCAGTGCCCATAGATCTGCCCCTCCCTGTCACACACCGCACCATCCCAAAGCAGAGGAGGCCATGCCTTACCCAGGAGGATGATGAGGATCCCCCCCAGCTGGGAGCGGCGGTACTTGGCGGCGCCGGGCTCGTGGCCCATCCGGATGCAGGGCAGCACGGTGATGAGCAGGAAGATGGCAGGGAGGCCCAGCACGGAGGCGGCGATCATCAGCGCTCGGCACGCCTGGACATAGCCTGCGGGTGGGGTGAGAAAGAGGATCTGGGTTATTTGGCTCAAAAGGAGGAGAACTTTGGGCAAGCGTTGCTGCCCCAGGAGCTCCCAACACCTTCACAGAGTGCAAGCGATGGATTCTGTGGTTCTACGTAACCCTTTGTGTAAGCAAATCCCCAGCAGGCGTGAGACAGTCAGTGTGCAGCTCAGAGATGTGCGAGGCCAACAGTTTCCATGGAGCAAGGAATGTCTTCCCAGCAAGATGTTGGGAGATCATGAAGCTGGGAAAGATGGCAGTGAGTGAAACAGCTGGGAAAGATGGCAGTGAGTGAAACAGCTGGGAAGGGGTTTTCCTACAGCTTTTCAGCCTTGGAGCAGCCACACTATTCCTCAGGACTCTATGCACACACGGGGTGCCCCAAGCTTTCATCACCAGCACAGCTTTCCTGCCCTGGAGCAGCCAGGAGCAGCAGGTCGTGGGGCTGCACGTGGCAGTGTTCCTTAACTCCTGTTCCAGTGTTCCCTAAGGAGTTAAGGGCAGAAAGTGAGACCTAAACAAAGGAGATGGCAATGCCCAGCATGGCCTCTGTGTAACCAGTCCCAGGTAAACAAGCATACAAACAATACATTCCAGCTTAAGGACTTGGCTCGGTGGAGGACTCCAAACACAGTTCAGCTGGAGGGAGGGAACCAACAGGGATCCCATGGGCAGCAAAAGGGCTCAGAGTGGGTACGGGCAGAAGGATCGCACTTTGTGATCTGCTTCTGCCGCAGCGAAACACTGCTTTCTTTTGGGGGAAGGCTTTATTTTCTCATTTATAAAGTTTAATTCAATGTTTTGTCAAGATAAGCCATTTTCCTGCCTGCTGCGCTGGATCAAAGTGAACAACAGTAGCTATAAGGAAGGCAAGTCTACTGAACTGCCAGTATTGACAGGGAGAACAGGAGCTGGTCTGAGAGGTCCAGCACTGCCAACCCCTGTGTAACAGGGGCTGGGCATTGTATCAGAGGGGATTTCAGGAGTGACCTCTCTAACCACTGTGAAGTTAGTTCCACAATAATTGAAAATAGATAAAGAAGGGAAAGATGAACAAAAAACAAGGGACATGTATTTCTAACCTACTGGCTTTGGAAGGGGCACCCTGACGAGGTGAAACAGAGCAAAGAAACACCATGGAGTTAACAACAATTGAAATAGGTGAAATAATTAGCTAAAATAACCAGCTAAACTACAGGGACAAGATTACACACAGACCTTGTCAGGTTCAGTTAGCCCCAAAGATGCATTCATCCTGGAGAAACACTTGGCTTAGATTTTACTTTGCAATAAAGTAAATGCCTTATGATTAGAAAGTAAAGAGATCATGCAGGGAACAGACATGACTATGCTAAGAGCTCCGCCATGCAGTAGAGCACAGGGGAAGCACAGGACTGCCAAAAGCAACGACAAACTTCCAAAAGATTAAAAGCCACAGCAGCATTAACAATGGATGCCACGAGATTCATCCTTCTCAGCATCATTTCAAGGAATAGATCCTTCAAATTTGAGTGGTTCATCATCATCACGAGACAGAACTGAAGCACAAAGAACACTAAGATACAAGAGTAGGTTTTGCAACGCAGTCTGGGGATGAGATGGGAAAGGAACAACTTGTTAACAGTTTGTTAAGAGCAGAGGTTGGTAGAATAAGTGGACTTCAATAGCCAGAGATAAATATTGTATAATAAGGACAGCTAGAACCAGCTGTAAGTCAGTGAGCACCCACCGTGTTAGGAGGCACCACTCAATTCTCTGCATTGTTTAAGGAACCACCTTAACGTTGATGGATGGAGCTCCACCATCGACCAGCCTGCAGTGGGGCACAGCCTCGCTCATGAGGTGGGAGGAGAGCCGGGGAGCGTACCTGGCAGGATGAGGATGTCCACCAGCGGCTTGCAGTGGTAAAGGCCCGTCGCCATGACGCAGTCTGCCCACAGCCCCTTGGAGCCCAGCTCGTCCATTTTGCGGCAGGTGGTGATGGTGTAGCCGCAGGTCACCACCCAGTCGTTGGTGGCGGTGGCCACCACCACCCCGATCCACCCGATGAAGCTGCAGACAAACCCGGCCAGGTGCAGGCAGGTGGCCACCATGTCGACGCGCCGGGCTCGCGGGCCGGGACGGGGAGAGCGGGGCTGGGAGAGGCGGCGCGGAACGGGCTGCGACCCGGAGCTGCCGGAGCTGCGAGCAGCCGGGACCGGAGACGCCGGGAAAGGTCGTCGAGCTGCACTGGGCGGCACCGAGCGGCCTCTGCCCCTGGGAGGGGTCGGCGCTGCCTCCGGCCCCGCTCCGTGGGAGGAGCGAAGGGGAGCCCCGACTCGCGCGTCCGTCACCGGGCCGGGGGCGAGCGGGGAGTTGCCGGAGCGGGCAGCGAGACGCGGCTCCGGGGTGCAGCACGGCGGCGCTCCTGAGCTGCAGCCGTCCAGCTACCGTCGCCTCGTGGGCAAATTGGGAAGGAAGCTGGCGGGACGGGGAGCCGAGCAACTGTCGGTGCGATGCCGCGGCCGGGCGCTGCGGCGCGGAGGACCGCTGGTGGGCAGCGGAGGAAACTGCAGCGGTCAGCCGCGTCTCCACCGCTCCTCACCTGCGGCACCGGGTTCATGGAGGAGGCAGCTGCAGGTGGGGTTAATCCTTTCCTCCGCGTACAGAATCACAGAACACAGAATGGCCAGGGTTGGAAGGGACCTCAAGGATCATGAAGCTCCAACCCCTCTCCACATGCAGGGCCACCAACCTCCCCATTTAATACCAGACCAGGCTGCCCAGGGCCCCATCCAACCTGGCCTTGAACACCTCCAGGGATGGACGGGGCATCCACAGCCTCTCTGGGCAGCTGTTCCAGCACCTCACCACTCTCATAGCAAAGAACTTCCCCCTGACATCCAAACTCAATCTTCCCTCCCTCAACTTAAAACCATTTCCCCTCATCCTGCAGTTATCTACGCTTTCAAAGAGCTGATTCCCCTCCTGTCTGTAGGCTCCCTGTAGGTACTGGCAGGCTGCAGTGAGGTCACCCCGCAGCCTGTAGGCACACACCCGGCTGTAGCTGCTCCTTCCTCTCCCCACCCTGCGTGTTTTGCTATTGGAGCTCCCTGATGGCAGGTCGCAGTGTTGAGCATTGTAACCATCCACTGCACAGAATGGAGCCACTGCAGGGTAGTTTTCACCATCAGTAAATAAAAATATTTTTCATCAAATGAAGTACAACACTCACTTCTAACATTAAATGTTTATAGATCTCAGCGCTTGCCGTGGCAACGCGTGTTATCTCTTCATTACCCATCTATTAAGGAGAGGTGTGAACAACTCCAACGTTGCTGGAGGACTTAAGCAGCAACAAAAGCTGTGCACCAGAGAACATGCCAGCTACACAAGTGGTTCTATTTACGTACATCTGAGCTGCAATGCACAGATATCCCACTTCCAGCAGTACCTGCATGGAGCCTCAGGGAAAGCACCCACTGTGAGAGGGCGCTGACTTGGTAGATCTGCTAAAAATATCCATTAGAAAACCGGGGGCCTCCTGCAGGCAGTGGGAATGGTGCAAATTTCAGTGTCATCAGTGTCTTAATTGATTGTAATCAAAGCGAGGAAGACAGTCCCTCCCTGGAGATGCTCCACAGTTTAACACCTTCCTGATGTCTAGCTGGCATTTCAGTGCATGACACCACAAAGACCCGAGTGTTCTGATGGTACAGTTTTTATTTTTGAATCCACAATCTGTACACGTATTTACAAGGCATGAAAATGGATAACAGCACAGAATACAATTGAGGTATAAGCTAAGAGCACAGTATGTCATGTTTCAATAAATATAATTCAAAATTTGTAAACTAAGTGACCAGATAGATGCATTTTGTTTACTAAAACCATATAAAATATCTGTTAATCTCACGTGAGGTAGAGGACAGTTTTGTGTGTCATGTAATGCAACCACAGCAACGCTAACAATAAGACTGTACATCATTGGCAAAGTATTACAAACTGTTGGATGCAGCGATGGATCTCACAGGCTTGCTGTGGTTTGGAATAGTCACCAGCTGCTGCCTCCAGCCCAGCAGAGCGCTGTGTCGCTTTGCAGCCACCTTCTGTAATCCAACACAGTCACACTGGCATGTCAACACCAATAAATACTTTTGAGAGTGAGCGTGAAAACAAAAAGAGATTTTCATCAATCACAGGAAGCAACGTAACTGCAACAAAATATTTCAGACCAACTTGGCGAGCCGTACATCTATTTTAAATGCAGTGTAACTGTGCTTTCCTTTCAGTGAGGTATCTATATTGGAAGAAAACCAGAGAGTCAACTGATGTTGTTACGGAGGCAGTTTTCCAATAACAAAATTTCATACCGTTTGTTTGCTGTGCTTGACGAAGTGCTTTGCTTATTTTTCAAGCATTTCCCAGCAGAACAGCTAACGCTGAACAAAACTGGCTTGCTAAATAATGGAGACACACAACGAGCTCTCATGCCATCTGTGAGCTGCAGCCACTGACGTTCACAAAAGCTGAAAATACGGATCTGTTTTTCAAAGAGATAAGCAAAAAACTGAACATCCTATAAGCTCTCTATAATGAAAACATCGATGAGTACTTCTCACATCAATGAGCAAAACAGAAAACTGAACCTTGCAGCTTATTGCAGCTTGCTGTTGACAGCTGAAATAAAACTACTGGAAGATTTCAAGCACAGATTAACAGGTAGGTGGGATTATTCTTTTGTCAACTTCACCGTATTATAGAAAACTGTTGTGTGGATTAATTACATGAATTAAGTGCAGAAAAAATACAAAGTCGTTCTCTTTGCTGACAGTCAAAATATATGCTCCACAAACAAGTGAACTCAAGGAAGCTGACCACGACAGCCAGCTCCACAGCTAATGCTAGGAAAGTCTTCTGAATAGTCCATAACATGGGACAGCAATCCAACCCCCAAGATAAACCAAGAATGTATGAACAAACAGTTGTGACTTCTAAAACATGGACCGAGCCACATTTTTTTGGGCCACCAGAAGCTTCAAGCTTCCACCCAACTTTTCCTACTTCACTAATTGCATTATGCCTTCACTATATACAAACGATTTTACACCTAAGCTATAATATATTAAATATAGAATAAAATTAGTGGAAGAATGTGAAACAGAACCACATTTATCTGAATTCCCGAGCTCAACGATATGCTTTACAAAAACTGAAACATGAGTTTGGAGATCTGAGATAACATCTCTTCCATCCAGGGTACTGTGAGCGAGGGTACTGCCAGACGGCCAAAGCTGCACGCTGTACTCTCTGAGTTCTCACATCTTCGTGCTCATCAGAGCACACAAAGCATGTGAAAGTCCTTTTTTGTTTTCCTGACACATAGGAGCAAACAGACATTCACCCTGAATCCGAGTTCCAGAAAGTGCACACACAGGCAGCTTTGTTTGCACTCTAGGTGCTCAACCAGGAAACTATTAAAACACTGAACAACTCTAGGCTTTATTTGTATTTTTTTTTTCTCCTCTGAAGACTTAATGCCACAACTATGTGAGAAAGCAACTTTCTGCCTGGAAGATCAGCAAATGAAAGCTGAAGGCAAAACAAAGAGAAATGCATCAGACGAGCATGGCTCAAAGCAAGAACCTAACGACCGAACTGGCTTCTACCATTGAGTGTGTACTTAAGTGAGGGCCCTCAAGTGTTCATTGCAAGATTCTATGTTAGGTTGTAAAACAAACCACTCAATATAACAAGCATAAGGTAGAGAGAAAAGGTCAATGTGGGTTTGTTCTAGAGCTACCAGAGTGTTATTTACAACTCACTCAAAAACTATCTTTCAAAGACCGAACGCACAAAATCTATGGCACAGTTATGTTTACATTATTACTTAAAACCAGTATAAAATTAAGTCTACACGTATGAAAATTATTTATGTAAGCAACCTGAAAGTAATATTGAAGAATTTTAAGAGGATTACAATAATTTAAAACGCATTCTAACTTTAGATTAACTAAATGGAATATTTACAAAGCTATTTTAAGGTCATCTCAACAGATGTCCAGCTAACTTTTTCAGCCAGATGTCTTAAAAGTATTAGGAAGCCTCACCTGCAGCTGGAACTGCTAAAACTCTATGCCAGCTGCTAGAGTTCTTGCAGAAGTGAAAACAGGAGTACAAACTATGGCTGCCTTCAGCAGAAGCTGGTTGGCACAGCAGAAGTGCAGGCTGGGGCAGGGGAAGCCCAGCAATAGCAGCAGCTGCCACAGGTTGAAATCAACCAGAGGTGAAGTGGGAAACCTCAGAGCAAGGAACGTCACACAGACAGGACCTGAATAAAAACTGAAAGTACAGTGCTCTAAGATCATAATCCCATGAGGATTCCATTTGTTTGACAGCTAAGCTACAAACACTGCAGTGAACCCATCACTTCAGCCATATGAAGTGAGTCCGGAGGGCCTTATCTACACTGACAACTGAACAAGTTTGGTTCACAACCCTGATACTGAAAAGCAGCTAGAAATGATAACACCCCAATGAAACCTTCTGGTTTCCCAGGCTGGTGTTTCCTGACTCGTCAATCTAGCTGATCCAGCCTTGAGCTCCAGTGCCTCACATCACTCTTCTACCAACACTGCTGCCATTTTTACTCAGCACATTCGCTTCCTTCCAAACCATTGCTATGCTGTAAAGACAGTCTTTTTTTTTGTTCTGTTTTTAAGCAATAATTTGGAGATGGAGTTGAAGAAGACGTGAAAAACATCATCTGGATCCCCTTTTCTGATCAACATTGCCAAATAAGTTTCATTTCTTTTCATCTAATCTGCCCTAACGATCAGTGTGAATATGACACAGGGTCCATAAAGAAAATCATGCACTGGTATGAAAGACTCATTCTATGACTCCACAACTTGTATCACCTCCTTTCTCACTCAGCTTAAAGAGTTGTGCCATTTTCTATTTCTGTAAAAGAGAGCTAAGAAAGAACTCAGTTTTCATTTTCACTAGTTCAGAATAAACTGATGCCAGTGGATTTTACTAGTGGTTTTATCCAGAATTAATCAACTTCTTTAAGAGAATAATAAACCTAAGCACCTTAAAAAAACCAAACAGCAAACGTAAGCTAGAACACGGGTTAAAATAACGTAGTGAAATAACAGAACTACTGAGATAATTCTAGTCACAATCAGCCAACGTCTGTCAGCGATGTCAAACTTTTGGAAAAGAAGTGCACAGGAGTACCTCTCCATCCAAATCTGTAGTCATGCACTGAATCTACCAGGAATCGGACTGCTGAAGTACTTGAGTAAATGCAATATATACACATAAAGTGGAAATTCTGTACAATGACATATTTCTAAGTGTCAGAGCTCAACAAACATGCTGTATTTCTTAATGCATGGTAACATCACCATGCCATTCAAATGTAGAAACAATCAAACTGATTTTCAAAGTGCTGTATCTTAGAATTCTATTTCTCTAAGCAATTACCACAATGTCAGTTAAGGCCTGTTCTATGTATAGAAAGAAAAATTCACAAGTTAACAGGAAGCTTGAAGTGTAGAGGCTTAAGATACTAAATAAACCAGTAATTTTTTTTTTCTTTTAATAAATATTACTTTTCTTGGAAGCATTGGTACCTGAAAACCAGGCAAGCCAAGGAATCCTACACGTCTGTGCTGGAAGGGACAGTCAAAGATCATCTGGCTGCAAGCTCTGTGCCGTGGCAGGGACACCTTCCACTGCCCCTTGTCCTGCAGCTACCAGACCTGATAAACAGTTTCCTTTAACTGCTATGTACAAGAAAATAAAAACTGAGAATTTTTAGTTTTAGAACATTCCATTTCTGAATGTCATTTTTCCTTAACTTGAAACAACAACAAAAAACCAACACTCCTAATGCTTTGTTCTTCCAGCACGGTGATCAAACACCTGCTCTAAAACTGCTGACTGAGTTGTCAAGTAGCTCACACTGAAAAGGTCAGCCTGACTTCACGTAACAGAATTATGGGAAAACTCATGCTGGTAAATCACTTCTGATAATCATCCATCTACTGTCATGGTGATTTTGAGCATTACCTCACAGCTGCCTTTATTCTTTCCCCGGCTCAGGAACACAAAATTCTCACTGAAAACTCAACTGTTTTTGGCCTTGAAGAAATTAAGATTTTTTTTTTAAGTACTTTTATAACCGGATGTGAAATCGATAATAAAATAAAGATCATCAAACCTGTTTTAACAGACAATGTTAGAAGGCAGAGGGTCCTCAAGGGCTGCATTAGAAATAAACAGAAACCGGGCACTCTAAATCTGAACTTTCTTATTTTTTCATAGTTTGAGAAAAACCAGTACAAATAAATGCAGATTTCCATTGGGTAGGAAAATCTAAAAATGTGTCCCTATCTGTTTGTTTATATATATGTATATCTTCATCTGCACTTGTATGGCAAACAGAAATCTGTAGAGAATACTTCTTATCGCACAGAAACTGCTCACAATTCATTAAAAAATGGAACACCCTGTTTGAAGGACGCAGTCGTGCTTGTTTTCCAACTTCTATTTTCCATTCCCATTTTTTGAAGATTTCAAGATCTGCAGCTTCAATTCTTTTATCATCATCTCCAACTTCTCCCTTGCCTCTCGTTCTTGTCTCAGTTCATCTTGAAGCTCCTGTCTGTCTGCCTCTGCGTGATCCAGTCTCTGTCTCAGTTCTGCTAGCTGTAAGACAGAGGAGAGAGATTTAATTTTAACAAACATATTTGTATTTGACATAACCATTCAAAACCCCGCTGCTAACCACCCTATGAATCAGGTACAAATATCTCAGAAGTATTTATCAGCTCATTTTCCTATGTTCATCAACAAGTACGCAGCTGCCGACCTCACCACAGGCAAACGACATCAATGTGAGAAGTGGCATAAAGATACTACAATAAAAAAAAAAAGCCAGAAGAGCCCAATTTTAAATACACATAAATTCCAGTGATGTGAACTGCCAGACTGCACCGAAGTCAAAAATCTGCTATCAAGCTGTGAGGATGCCTGCGTCAGATCTTTCACAAATCCCAGAATAAATTTTCCACTCCCCAAGTTAATTTCCCTCACCTGACAAAATACTATTTCTTTACTTCAAAAGCTTAATCCATTTCTACAACACCCATAACCATCAATACAGTCTTCTGACATTCTTTAGCATAAATGAAAGTTAGGAAAATGAGATTCAGAAGTGCTTGACCAGAACATCTTGTGCACTGATTTATGTTATTCAAATAGAAACATCAATCCTCCCAAGCTTTTTTGTGAAACGTTCTGTGTTTCAACACGAGAGAATAAATAGGCTTTAATCTATAGAGCACAGTAAATCTCAAATTTCCCCAAGTATGAGGAAGGCTTGAGCAGACTAAATGGCATTGGCTTCTGCTGAAAAGAACGCTTCTCTGATGACACCAAGTAGGTCACTGCATAACGACTGAAGTAGAAACACTGAGTCTTGTCATTTTTGTCTGGGATAATGTAAAACACTGAAACGTTTTCACTTGGAATTTGGTGCCATGCAACCCAGCGAATTGGAATTACTGATCCATAAATACACCCCTCTGCTCTTGCAGCTTAATGGCAATGACATGTGATAGCTTGATTGAGATGCTATATCTCAAGGAAGAATTTAAGTAAAAAAAAGATCCATAAAACATATGACAAACATTCTTTTTTATCTTCTGAAGAGTCCCACTGCAGATTATGCAGTTTAGAAAAGTTACTCATCAAAAAAAAAAAAAGTTCCACACTTAAATGATTATATAGAGAGTAAAGCAAAGATTTTTGCATGAGACTGTCCAACCACTAATGACATCAAGAGAAGAGTGTGAATCCCACGTGTGATGTGTTCAGCTGTTTGTGTCTAATTTGTTACAGCTGGACTTTCAGACTGTACCAAGTAACTCCCCAGTAGAAAATCAGTGGTAAGCCCCAGTGATTCAGAACATGAGTCATCTTAGCTAAACCATGTACAGAAGGGAACCATTAAAATAAAACCAAAAAACAGCTGAACAACCACTGTTTGTCTATGCAGCACATAAATCCCCTACCCAGCATTAAAACAATAAGAAACTACTTTGAATTTATTAGGGTCAGTTCTTTCCCACCAAAACTTCATCACAATAAGATCTGGAAAACTCTGATGAATTTTTCAAGTGTGGCAGAGTTACTGCCAAGCTGCTTATATGTATTACCACCAACAATTACAACAGGGAGACAAAAGCCATTATCTTCTTTGCCATGGGTTTGAGTGGTTGTTTCTTACGAAAAGACCTCACTGAATCTAAAAAGTCCACCTGCACTCATGACTTTGGGCTTCCATCTCAATAATCACTACGTGCACATCCCACTGAAAAAGGAGGCAGCTCATGACAGCAAAGAGAAGCAGGAGCACACAAAAACACTGCTGTTTGCCAGCTGTTGTAAAGTGCTTTTGCACTCTGGTGCACTCTGTGATTTTGCAGAAACGTTATTCAATGGATGTTCATCTTCACCCGTATCATGAGAAGTATTTCAGTGGTTTTTAGACAGCACGAGCCTATTAATGTGAGTCTTCTGACTGGGATGCAGACTGGTGCAGCACAGCAATGCCCACTGCCTGCATGCCACAGCACGCAATACATAAATCAGCATGTCTGTGGTGGAGCTTTTGTTTTCACCTATAAAGAAAGGCTTAAGGACTGCTTACACTGTCCTATTGTGATTGATGGGGTAAAGCAACATTTCAACTGGGGAAGTCAGTAAAGGAGTCAAATAAGGAGGAAGACCTCATGCATCTTCAGAAGAACAAATGTTTACCAAAACTCCAGATCCCTTATTACTCATTCCCTTTAATGTACAAGGAAGGCTTTTCCCAGTCCACAGTTCTCAGAGAGGGCAAGTGGCTTCAAGAAAACATCACATTAAGGCTATTTGAGGTGCAATATATACAGCTTGGGAAAAATAACCGTTGCCAGGACTTCTGTTTAACTCAGGTACATCCAACAACTGCTTGGAACCCATGGTCCAAAACGTACTGTAAGATGTGATAAATGGAGAAAAAGACTCCACTGACACGTTCCAAGTAGCTCTGTAGCACAACTAATAACAGGATAAACTTTCATGGCAGGAACGCATTTAGTATTCTAACATCAAAAGAAACAATCATCCAGACTCCTTGGAGAACAATTTGTGGCTTTTATCCTCTAAAGAAAGGATACACTAAACAGGCCATATCAAACACACTACACACGATCATCTTCATCAACCAGAACATGTCGTTACTTGCAGCAACAGGGCTTGTACCAGATGTTTGGTAAATCAGACCTTAGTCAGAGAAGATTACTTCTGGCAGCAAAGGCCAGGAATCTGTGGAGTGGGATGTCATGAAATTAAATTCATGGGAAGGATTTACGATGCTAGTCTCTGCCCTACTCCCTAAAAATACAAAAACCTGTCTCTCAAGTATAGCCTGTTTCTTATTTTGAGACTGCATGAACAGCAAATATACAAAACTATAATCAAGTGATCATAAAGCTTAAGTTTTAGATTTTGTTTGCTTTAAAAGGCTGTTTTCTGTGACACAGTTCAACGTACTTCAACACGTTTCTATAGCCAAAGCAATCATGCCTAGCTCTGTAACATGGACAAGCCTATACACATTAAACATGGCCTGCTTTGAGTAAGAATGTTATAATCCTTATGTTTAAGATTAATTATTTAACCATTAATATCATACAAATATCTGATGAAGAGAATCCTAACACCTGACAGGTGAAGCGTTTCTGTAAGCTACATTTTAGCTCTGTCTCAATCAAGGGGCAGGGAAGTAAATATGCTATCATTGTGACTAAGATGGAGAAGATGAAACCTTACAGTGGATGAGCAGTAACTCCACATTCACTCATGCACTAAATATGATTTGCTTTGAAACAGACTTTCCCTTCTCACCTGTGCTGCATATTCTGCTTCCTTGTCCTTCTCTGAGCTGGACTCACAGGTACACTTCTGCTTCATCATTTGGTCCAGTTTCCTCTCCAAGTCTCTCTGCTCAAAATAAAACTCTTCCATTCTTTGAGCGTGCTCAGCTTGCAGAGATTCAAGTTCTTTTTGCAAATTCTGCTGCTCTTCACTCAGTTCCTTCATAGCTTTAGAGTTGTTTAACATTTCCACTTCCTGTCAAGACAGATCAGGATCACAAACACCTTGGTTCTAACACCAGAAAAGTGAAAAAACAATCTTGTGATTTAAATATGTAACTGAAAACAATGAGGCAAAAAAGAGCACATTCATCTACTGGTAACAATGGCCTGATAATGGAACTCATCTTCTTATCAATGGTGACGTGCTGTATTCAATTAATATAACATGATCCATACTTTTAAGCACATGGAGCTTCCAGAAACAAATTCACAATGTCCAGCAGTGAACCTCAGAATGTGGTGGCACTGATTTACTACAACATATTCTGAAGACAAAAGAAGTGTCTCATCAGAAAACAGAATAAAAGTGTTTGGTTTCCCTTTCTGTTAACATTTTGATATTTGTAAAAGGGTCTCCATTTTTTTTTTTTTTTGCTTTTTAAATTACCTACAAGCTTTGCCTCCAACAGCAGAACACTTTAAAAGCAGCTGTCCTGGGGCCTTACCTGAGATTGCTGATTCTGAGCTTAATGTTAAAAATAATAATAATAATAATAATAATAGTAATAGGCCTGGTGTACAAATATAAGCAGAAAAGACAGTATTGACTTAATTTAATGCAGAAAACAGAAGTGATGCAAAATCACAAATGAACACCAGTTTCTGATGCCCTCCAAAAAACCCCCTAAAATAAAAGATTCAACAAATAGAGACAGGAAGGTGCCATTATCGCTACGCAGGGCTACGGTAGCATCAATTCCAACTCCTGCATCTTTAAAATCCTAAAAAGTGAAAGATTTCCATAGGACTTACACTATATTTGCCAAAATATTTCTATTTTTGAAAAGGATTCGAAAGTTCAAGCAGTGCTCGTTTGGATATAATGAAATATAATGAAAGCAGCTCCTTGAAGGCAGCTGTTACAAACCGAAAAACCAGCACCAGTTATTAGCAGCTCCAAGCTAACAAACACACAGGATATTAGAGATGTAGCGTCTGGATTCAAGCTGGTGGAAAATTACTTTTGTGCTCCAGTGTTCTAAATGGAAGTCATCCGTGGAAGGATTCTAAACCCAAAAATCTAACATGAGTTTTCTGATGGCAAAATGAAGCTTTTTCACGTTGGCATCGTACCATTTGGAGCTGCTGCTTCCTCCGCAAAATAGTATTTAGTTTCTCTTGCTGTTTGATGTAGGTTTTCATTACTTCTTCCATGATCCTTCCCTTGTCGTCTTCACAGCTGATGTCTTTCATGAGAGTGGGGGACAACGTTCTCCCATCATTACCTACTTCAACACATCTGGAGCCTCTCATGCTTTTGGAAGAAAGACGTTCGGATTTCCCACCTCTTGCAGAATGAGCTGACGCCAGGGGATCTGCAGGTAAAAGAAGGACGTGGCACAATAAGCACAGAAAATCACAGGAATAAAATGCAAAGTAAACTCAAGGTTAGGAAAAGGTCAGAAGAATTTTTGGAGCACCGAAGAGATAACGGATACAGTGACAAAATACCAGCTTGGTGCTGCTCCTTCCAAAGTTACATGCTTGAAAATTAAACTGAAAAGACTTCCATGTAATTCTTTTTCATAGCTTATCTACTCACCTAAACGCTTATGCTGCTCCAGACCAGTTTTCAAGTCAATTTTCTCCTGTTCCTCAAGAGAAAGCTCTGGATAGGAGGCAGGTTTTTTGTGCTTTCCACTAGTGAGCTTTTTCTCTGACATTCCAGATGAAGACTTGATTACCTCAGAAGCTTTGACTGTTGTTTTTGTAACATCCTTGTATTGTGATGCAAGAGATACATTTGGGGCAACCACTTTGTCACACATATAAAGGTAGTAACTGAAAAAGTAGAACAGTGCAATTAAGGATGAAAATGTGCAATAAATGAGAGTACTACGTTTAATTTCACTTCATTTTAAACAGCAAAACTTTCAATAAACGTAAGCTTATCCTTTTTATTTTTTTCCTATACAAAAGGAAATAGTAAAGACTTCATCCTTACTGGTAGATATGGTTTGGAGGCCACAAAAAAAAAAAAAAAAAGCTTATGCAAATGTGACTGATTAAAAACACATCCATACATACATATAAATCACATGGAGTCATCTCTTAAATGCAAAGAGTGAAATTAGAATGCCACCAGATCCAGACTCTCTAGCATCCTCATAATCCTCCTATCAGCAGTGGAGTATGGGAGAAGGGATCAGCACAGTGGTAATGAGCATACTGCTTTTTTAGCAGCAGGGCTGGGCACTGACGGTGCTGGGCAGACCTGGGACCAATACTGGACCTTCTTTTCCACATATACTGACCAGCATTGATGCAGAGTGTGCAATACATTAAGGAAATGCACTCGATTTCTGAAACCTGGAAATTAACCAACAAGTCAGCTGCAGTCATTCCAGCATGGAATAAAGTCTTCAAACAGTTTTGGCAAGTCCTTTTTGAAAAGAAACGCAGTTGCACTCGTGGTAAATAGGCCCTATGCAGCTTTTCACATACGTGCATTATGTTATAATAGGAAAATTAACTTCTGTCATTGCCTGAGAAGCAAAGTCGTAATTACATTTCAATTGTATTTCCTCCTGAAGGACGCCCATACATCACAGCTTGAGTCTCACACCAAAAATCACCCATAAGCAGTTCATTAATATTTACACTAAGAAATGAATTACGAGTTAGGGTGCAATTCTTTTTCGTAACAGTTCAGGTTGCAAATACATTTTTTTCAGCTGAAATTTATGTACTGAAATTACATATGCAATGCTCATCGTGCTGCAAAGGAAATTCAGTTACCTGGGATGGAAGAAGGAAGGTGGCTGAGGATCAGCTTCTGCTTCCTGCTTGATCACAGGATACCACTGCGATAAATCTAGGCTCTGCTGGGAATCCACCTCAAGGAAAACAAAAACCAAGCAGTAATTTGAAGACAGGTTCACGTTAATGACATTTTAACAAACCGTTCTCAGCAGAACGGCACTTCTACCATTAATGCATACACACAAACTGAAAAAGCCACAGGCTTTGACAGAAGTGCATGCTGATGCAAGAGACAGAAGTTTCTTCAATCACCAATTTCCCATTATGAGTAAAGCAGCAACGAAACTGAAAGAAAAGCTCTTTGCATAAAAGCTGTGCTGAGCTCCCAGGACTCTGGCAGAGGCATTGCCACCAGAGACTGGGAGAAACAGAGAGCAGAAACAAAGGTTGTATCACCCCTTGGTAAATAAGCATCTACACATCAAAGCACGCACTTGTCAGATACTTCACTACAAAATGAAATCTGTGAGTAAAAAGCAACCATTAGTGGTGTTACAGAAACACAGCTGGGCAAGGTCACTGCAGTAAGCTAACAACCCTTGGCAGTAAGGAACAGGAGCACCTCAGGTGCATCAGAACACATCATCCTAAAGCACTTCTGCGCATGCAGTGTTTGGGTAGCAATCCTCCTTCTGTTTGTCTCAAAAACCATTTCCAAAATTAAACTTCAGTCAAAGTTGCTGCTGATACTTACTGCTCTGCCACAGTTACTGCTATTTTCAAGTGAGAGGCATCTGGTCCTATCTACAGGACTCGCAGCTGAAAACCTGATTCCTAATTCCATCGTATTAAAATCATCTTGGAACTGGGGAGAAGTCTACAGAAACCCCTAGAAACGTGAACATAAGTGGGTTTTCCCCCAGTGTGATTAGCTGACCACAGCCAGCAGCCACAAAAAATCCATATTCACACACCCAGAAACAGAAACAGATCACAGAACCTCACCTCTGCCAGTCGAGAGGCTGCAGTCACAGCAGCATGGCCTGCATCAGATGGCACTTGACCACAAAAAAAGAGTCAATCCTATCTATATTATTCTGGTCAAAACATCAAGCCTGCTAAATTCAAAGTCTAGCACTGCAACTGCAATGTAACTCCACCCATGCAGTTCCTCAAATCAGCTCCAAAAGGAACAGAAAGGAGACAGGAAACAAGGAAGCTGAGCTCCGAAACAGTGACTTCGTATCAAACCCTTCCCCACCATTTTATCTTTGCTCAAGTTTTCAGTTTTTCTTCCATACCAATTTCATATGCTACTTAATAATAATAACAACAACTACACAGGTCTGTAATGGAAGAATCCAGGAAGGGTTTTTTGCATTTTGTTTGTACCAGTCCAGTCCAAATGACTGCTGCTGTGAACTTCAGCTGTTTTTTCATCTGTCTACAGGAAACTGAAATCGTGGTCAGAAGTCTGCTAACACAAAACAGGAAGCAGCCTCCTGTAGTCACACCTAGAACACACTTCCACTCATGCCACAGCTCATCACCTGCACTGGCACTGCAAGGACAAAGACTGTCATGATAGTGAAGACTCCTTGCTGTGAGCTTACCTGCACCCCCAGCTGACTTGGCATGTGCAAGACTGCCATACAGCAGACTTGTGTGGAAATTTTCTGATAAAAACACAGCAGACTGGCACAGTTGTAGCAACAGCTGCTGCTGCAATAAGCCTTTCTGTAACACTGAATGTCCAGAGCTGTGCTGGAAGGTGTCATCTCACCACACACCCTTCTGGGCTCACCTGCATGGACTGCTTTGAAATCCAAGACAAAACATCCAACAGGTGAACCAGAAAGTTTTAAGTTGAGATTACACTCAATAAAATTGCATATTCTTTGAATGCAAACATCCATGTTGTCATTACCTATGCGTTCCCTCATTTAATGAGCTAGCTGCTCTCCACGTTCCCTACCAGCTCTCCTCTTAAAAAGCCTATTTCTTGCACATAACATGATTATTTCCCCAGCAACATCCAGCATTTATCTGGTGTTTATTATTTAAATTAGAAACCCTTTGAAGGAAAAATAAGGTCTGTATTTTTGAACTGCACTGCAGACTTGCAGCAGTATTTTAGGAAAAAATACTATGTCTATTATTAACCATTGTCAAGATACCATCCTACAGCTCTTTACTTGGACTGCTTCAGAACTCCTCTCTTTTGGCATATTTCTCCATATAACTCGTTTAAACAGAAAGCTACTGCTGAACAAGCAGGCTTTGGGCTTCTAACAGGAGCTTATGGATGAGCCCTCACCCATGTGCAAAGCCATGATGGGTGGCTGGCAGGGCAGGCAGCCGTACACCACGTGTGTGTGTGCAGGCGTGAATGCAATAAATAAAAAACCAATTGGTGACACTTGATTTTCAAGCTCCCTTCTGCATTGTTCAGCTGCTGCAGCACATACCGCATAAACACATCAAAAGATCTCCAAATTAATTCTGAACCTTCCAGAGACGGCTTACTTTAAAACAGAACAAGAACCAACAAAACCAAACCATCTTGAATGAAGTTACTTAGGGCCCAAAGAGGAAAGAAATCACTGTGCCTTTTCATCAGAAATGTATTTCCATGGAGAAGCTCCCTCATGAAATTCACTTAGGCTTGGCTTGACAGGCACTGCCATTTACAAGAGGCAAGCACTGTGCTTCCAGAAGGACCATTTACATGCAGTCAGAGAGGTTTAGGAGTTCTACAAGAGCAGGTGAACTTACTTTTGATCGAGTTCTTTTCTGATTTTTCTCACTAAATTTCTCCTTCATCTCCTCCAAGAGATGCTTCAGCTCCCGCTCCTCCGACGTTCCCAGGTATTTTTGGTTAATATGAAGGTAGCAGTGCCACTTGGCTGACTCGAAGCCCCAGTGGCAGGTCCTCTTGTCGGGGGATCGATGCGAATGCATCACGAAGGTCTGGGGTGAGAACATCCCGTAGCACTCCAGACACTGGATACAGGGGTCGTCGGGAGCAAGGTAGAACTGAGGTGCAAACAAACCCTGGCACTTGCCCAGGCATTCGTGCTCTACTTCGAAGGCACTGCCAGTCTCCTTCAGTTGGGCCAATGTGTTCTTACCAGGGAGAAAGCTGCCATTTTGAGGAAAAGTGCGAGGACGTAGTAAAGCATTGCATAGTCTCTGAGCATCAGTCAGTGTAATCAGCCCGCAGGACGGAGCATTGAACGGAAGAATTCCCAAAACCTTCAGAATATGAAGCTGGTCGGAAGTGCACCTGGAACAGTATATGTACAGTTCATCACACACTGTATTAATCTGCTGCAAAGAAAAGTCTCGAAGAACTGAATTCAACACCTGAGGCAGGCAGAGCCTTTTTTCTCCTCCGACTTTAAAGCAAGAGATGGATTCCCCCTCCAGTACAGTCTGAGTGAGCTCTGTGGAGCTGTCGGGAGGAATGAGCAGCGGAGCAGACAGGATTTGTGGTGATGGAAGAGGCAAGAAGACGGTGGGTGACATGCTCTCCTGGGAATAGCGAGCTGAGAAAGCCGCCGGTCCACCCAGCGAGCTCTGGCTGCTCAAGTGGAATTGTGCCAACGTGTGTTTCAGACCTGGATTTAAATTCAAAGGTTCAGAGATTGAGGAACTGTTTGGCTTGGCACTCTCCCCGTCAGCCTCCACAGAAGTTTCGTCATATTCGTCCAAGTTTTCCTTCTTGATTGTTGGCAGTTTATTTATCACGACTCGTACTTGGCTATTTACGTGCATCTCCGTCATTAGCTTTTTCAGCGGGGGGCTCCCATCCTCCTGGATCCCACTCCTCTTTTGCTCTGAAACGAGTCCTAGAGGGAAATTTGTTTGTGGGCTTTCCATCGCTGAACACCAGAACTTCAGTTAATTACAGTCTCGAATGCACATTTTCCTGCTTGCTTAGACAAAAAACGATTTGAAGCGATCTCGACTGCCGCAGGCACGCCCTGGTTTGCACTCCACTTAATCCTTCGGCCTCCAACAGCAAAACCTGCAACCCATTTTGAACATAAAACTAAGAAATTAAGTCTGCAGAAGTCAAACAGTTTTTCTCTCCTAGTTCTAGAACCATTTGTTCAACTGTCTTATATGTAACCACCGTGATTTGTACACATGGACGTTCTTCATACGCTGCCCAGTCGCACAGCAGCACCTCGGGAACAAACGAGGTGCAGAAGGTCCACTGGGGGCCACTTTTCTCTTCCAAAAACAGACGGCCGTCAAAGCCAGTCCGTACTTCGATATCAAAACACAGAAGCGCTCAGAGCTCCGTCCGATCCCAAACGTACCTGGAGCCACGCGGAAATTCCGCTCGGCACTTTCAGTTCCTGGAGATGGAGCCCAAATCTCCGGGGCCTGCTTTATTGTGCCGCCAACTTCGCGATTTCGCCGCCGCCGCCCGCAGAGCGCCGGCAGCTCGCAGACAAACCCGAGCCGAGCGCCGGCGGTCACCTTTGGCACAGATGTCAGCGCCGCGTGTCACGACTCTCCCACCCCGACTTACGGGCGGTAGGACCGAGGCCGAGGGCCGGATTCCCCCCGCCGCGTCGCGCCGTCAATCCGCGCAGAGCCTGCGAACAGCGAACGGGGTCACGGCGAGCCCGGCAGCGGGGAATGCCCGCCGGGAGCGCCGCGAGGAGCCCCGCCCGCGCCGCCCCCCCAGAGCCCTTCCCGGAAGGGCGCGGGACGCCGCTCCGTGACTCACCTCGGAGCCGGGCGGCCGCGGGCAGCGCTCCCCCCGCCCCCCTTCCCCCGCCCGGCTCCCTCGCTCCGCCGCTCCCTCGCCCGCCGCGCCGCCGCCGCTCCCTCCCCCCGGGCACGGCGCGCCCCTCCCCCGGCCGCCGCCATCCCCTCCCTCGGGCGCTGCCTCCCCTCGCCCTCTCGCTCACCCCCCCCGGCTCTCCTCTCTCGGCACCGCGGGGGTCCCGGCGCCCCGGGATCGGAACGGACGCCGCGCACGCGCCGCCCACCCGTGACCTCACTGCGGAGACGGCGGCGGCGGAGACGGAGACGACGGCGGAGACGGCGGCGCGCGGGCACGAACCCGCCGGCGGCGCGCACCCCCCCGCCGCCCTCGGCCGCCGCCGCAGCTCCGCCCACTGTCTGGGGCAGCGGCGGGAGCGGCCGCCCTTCCCCCGCCGCCTCACGGCGCTGGGAGGGAGCGCCCCACACACACGGCGCGGTAAATCGCGATGAGATACAGGAAAGCACGATAAAATGCGACAAAACGCAACAAATAAACGCGTAGCCATTTAAAGGGCCGACCGGCCCCGCGTTCCGCCCCACCGCTTCCCCTCAGCCCGCAGCCGCCGGGCATCGCGACGCGGCCCCCCGCGCGCAGAAAGAACCGCAGCGTTCTTCTCACGTGTTAAAGACTAGGCGCAGTGCTGCTGCCCAGACGCGCAAAGCGCTGCCTTGGCCCGAGATGTTTTGTTTGCAGGTTTTGCCTGTGATGTTCACCTTAGAAGTCAGTGCTTACCTGCGGCTGTTCCCCCAGCTGTGAGTGCAGGCTGGGGGACCCCTGGTGCTTTATATGGCGAAAATAATAAACTGCCGGCTGTATAAAGAGGAGAATAGGGTTTATGCAGTTATTCTAAACAGCTGTGCCCAGGCTTTTAACCGTAATGCTGTGATCATAAAGACACTAACAGTTATATTTATTTTTTAGAGCTTAGAGAAAAGCATTTGACCTTTGTGTTATTGAAGAACTTGGGTAGAGATGAAGGAATCGTAAATCTGAAATAGAGCACGACCTCAATTTTTACATTCAGTGCAAAGCATCATTATAACGGGGAACACGGTTTTACTGCTGCCATGTTGCAGGACCCTCAGGCAAACGCAAGGCTTTTCCACAAAACAAAGGGGTATCGAACAGAAACCTTAACTTTGTTGCAGGATGTAAACCTCCAAGTCGCTTGGAATTAAGTGTGCTTTCTGGCACTACTTACAGAAGGTATTCCAAATAAGGGCTATAGAAAAACACAACTTCTCTTTTCACAGATAGAGAAAAGAAAGGGAAGGCATAAATTCCCTCCACTCCATGTTGGCCAAAGAAAAGATAAATGCTTCCCCAAAACTGAAACCAACATTTAATCACAGGGAAGAATAAAATTATTGGAGAAATTAATTTTCTTCCCTTTAATATCCTACTATTTGGCCTCTTCCATCCTCATTTTGTTTCTCTATTTTTATTGTAAATCACTAAAGATTGACTCAGCCCTTCCTCGGGGAGCATTTACCATAACAGCTATTACCATGATGGGAAGTGCATCTTTCCTCCCTTACATCTACCCTACTGCTTTCTAGATCCTTTTGCCAGACATAGTCTGCATCACTCATTGGTAGCAGCAGAACCACAGCTGAACCCTTTACATCTCAAACCACCAGCCTCTGTGCATCATATGAGTTATGTGAACTGAGACACCATCAGGACTGATGCCTCTGCACTTCCCAGCCATTTGACATTCAAAGCAAGTGAGGTTTGTGCTTCTAAGGAAATTTCATGACATTGAACCATAAACCAACTCCTGGCTCATCTCTGCAGCTTACTGCGCTTGAACCAATTAGCAGCACACAGTAATTAATAAATACTGGTCATTCCACCTCGGTTTGGTTTCAATTATCTTTAAGTTCTGCTTAATTCTTTTTTCTTCTGCAATAAAATGTTTGAGGGTGGGTCAGTAACTGGAAACGCAAGCACGTTTGTGAAGAACATTTCCCCCTATCCCCCATACTTATTCATGAAGCATATAAAAGCCCAAGGGAAACAAATATGAAGAAAACCTACCAGCTTCATGGACCAGCTGCAATTGTTCAGACATTCTGGACGTTCCTGTCTTCTCTAGCCTCTAGAATTTAGGATCTGATCATAGAAATTATCTACAAATGCCAACCTCTGAGATGTGCTACATCATATTTCCATTTCAAATTTACTCAGGAACATGCAAGACTTATAACATTATAGCTAGAATGAACTATGGATTTAAGGCAGCAACGTATGTAGGTGGATATTACATCTTTTATTAGTCCTGCTGATGTCATGGAAGCTTAGAAATTCAGTATTGTCATTTAATTTGGGTTTTACAAAGTTCTGCATATTTTTCAAGTTGCAAACCTCTGTGGTAACCATTGTGCTGGAATGATAATGCTGCTATAGAGCTACAATCATTAGGCACCATAAGCCAAAGTTTGTAGGTAGAAGGTTGTTCAAAAGATGTTAACTCCACCTACAACTCTTATGGCAGACCAGGCAAAGCAGCTCCAAAAGGCACTGCGTAACTGAGACCTGCATTACAGACCCTTGTATGACAAAGAAAGAACCCCCCCCAAACTAACCCTGCTCTCCTCGCACATATACCTTCTTTAGGTTGTGCAGGCCACTCTCAGCTGTCTCTTGGCTTGATACCTCTTCCACTCACACACTAGAAAGAGCAAGTGAGACACATTAATCTGTATTTCTAAGCGCAGATAAATCCTTTAAATAACTGCATCACAAGCAGAAAAGAACAAAGGACACTGAAACAAACTAACTGAACGCTTCAAGAAAATACAAAATGTGGTAGAATTCCCTTCTTTTGAAAGAGCCTCCAACCCTCAAATCCCTCTTTTCAGGAACACACCATGATAATTTCAGATACATTTCTTGCTTAAACTGCTTACTACGTCACCCGTGAAGTCAGGATGTATGTTTAGCATTTTTCAAGGACATATAGATGGTGCAAGCTCCTAGTTTCTTTTATAGAGCATCTTTAACATAAACAATTGCTCAGACTGAGCAGAGAGCAGTTGGCCACCAAATTGAACAGAAACAAGAAGCGTGCGTGGGGGGAGGTCAAGCATTTAAGATATGCAACCATCTGTAGCACTTGTCTAGGACTGCTGATATATACTGTTAACAACAAGCCAGACTGCAAGAGGAAATGTCTTTTAAAATACGATACAAAGATCTTAAAATACAGATATATTAAAATACTGCATCTGTAATAGGGTATGAGGTAAGTGCCCTTGCCCTCAGTTGGAGATTTGAGAGAGTATGATGGGGGGAGTCATGAAACAAACAAAAGGAACCATGCAAAGTAAGTACAAGGCATGAGAGAACAGCTCTAAACTGCAAATTCCCAGCAGCTGCAGTGATAGCACAGAAGGTTGTTGTTGTACTCCCTCCCTGGATGCTTAAGGGTCACCTGAAGATCCCAAACAAACCCCTGTGTTTTGTAGCAGTAGTTTGTTTTTGAGATTAATACACAGCGTCCTAAATAAATGTTTTATTTGAAGTAAAAATTGTGCACAAGTAAAGAGAACGATTACACAACAATGTTCAAGACTGTATTCCATACGAAACAGGAAAGTAGCAGAGACAGCATGAATGAGCAGAGCACCCATAAGAACCTAACTCGCATCCAAAAGGGTCAGCCCACAGAAATACACCACACTTCTGATGCAGACACTTGCTTCAAAATTCAAAGCCTACTCAACTGTTCTCATGCCATATCCCTTCTGAATACTTACAACGGTTGCTATCACGCTCCACAATGAAAAATAACTTACTACCATGGCACTTAGGAGAAAATTAAAGTTTAACAATGGACATACAGTCGTTACAGATATTTATCTCAGTGGCAATAGTTAGATGTGTAAATAGAAAAAGTATATTTTCTGTGACACTATAAAAAGTTTTGCTTTGAGCACAAAAGGCAGTGCTCTTCTGTGATGAGCAGCAGAAATCCCTTCCCTACATAAAGCTATTTTGCTTGATATTGTACATGAAATTAAGGAACTGTACAGAGAAGGCTTCTCTTGCTTGCTTTCAGTAACTTCAAAGCTTACTATCAGTTAAGTCCCAATGTCTTAACTAGTCACATGAGTGTCAAACACATTTATAACTGGATGCAAGCAGTTTCATTTCACATGAAATAACAGCGTTAAAGTTATCAGCTGCTCTTTAAAAGTAGATTTACTCTGATATTTTACATAGGAAAGCATACAACTTGAAGCCAAGAGAACCCAACTTTCAACAGTGCAGAAGTTTAACGCTTCCCTGGAACGGAGCTCCCTCCAATTCATTCCCAGTTTTGAAAAATTCAGCCTTTTTGGTTCCTACTCACCTTGCAAAGAAAAGTACACACTAAGTATCACACTGTGAGCTACTGTGCTTGTGCAGTCTCTCCCCTTGCAGCTAACATATAAGTGAAAAAAACACACACTTGAAGATCCATGCTGTGAACTTACAGTTTTACCACACAAGGATTTTCACAGAGACATTGCCTAAACAGAAAGCTTACTA